GTATTTCATGACGACTCGAGTTTTAAATTGGCGTCAAGCTCGGTGGAATATGTCGCTATCTAGATTCGATTTTGTTATCACTTATCGACCTGGAAGACAGCAAGGACTATCCGATGCTTTATCAAGGAGATCGTATCTTGCACCAAAGACTGGAGAAGCAGCATTTGATCAACAATGTACAACGTTATTGAAGCCAGAGAGATTTCAACTTTGTGCTACTATTGTATCATTTGATGCTGACTTCCTAAACCAGGTACGTGCTATGACCATTAAAGATTCAGTAGCCATTGATATCAAGCAACGTACCAATGACGACAAGTTCAAGGTGGAGGGAGATCTTTTATACTTTGAAGAGCGATTGTACATTCCAAAAGGACTAGCACGACTCCGAGTTCTTCAATCTCGCCATGATTTTCCAACTGCGGGACATTTTGGATTCAACAAGACCTTGGAGCTTATTTTCCGAGATTTTTGGTGGCCCCAAATGTGGAAGGATGTGAAAGATTTTGTCCTCTCTTGTGACATCTGTTCAAGATCTAAGAATCCTCGGCATCGCCCTTATGGACTTCTACAGCTATTGCCAATTCCACGTCGACCATGGTCTTCAATTTCTATGGACTTCATCACGGACTTGCCATCATCAAACTCATTTGACAGCATCTTTGTTGTGGTAGATCGGCTTACGAAGATGGCACACTTTGTTCCTTGTAAGAAGACATCGTCTAGTGAAGTCATAGCAAGACTCTTTCTTGATAATGTATATCGATATCATGGACTACCAGATGATATCATATCAGATCGAGGTACCCAGTTCGTATCAAAGTTTTGGAGATCTCTCTTTGGGATATTGAAGGTGGATATCAAGCTTTCTTCAGCTTTTCATCCTCAAACTGATGGCCAAACGGAACGGGTGAACCAAGTCTTGGAGCAGTACTTACGATTCAGCATCAACTATCAACAAGACGATTGGACTGCATATCTACCGCTAGCCGAGTTTGCATATAACAACATCCTCCATACGTCGACTCAACAAACACCATTCTTTTCCAACTATGGGTATCATCCGAAGCTTGATTTATTGAGTCCGTCAACAAATAACAATCCAGCAGCTGAAGGATTTGCAAAGCAACTATCAGAGCTTCAAACTATGTTGAAGCTTCAATTACAATCCACTCAAGAATCCTATAAGACGTCTGCAGATAGATTTCGGAATTCAGCACCTACTTTCAAAGTTGGAGACAAAGCATGGCTTCTTCAACGAAATATCAAGACCAAGCGACCATGTGATAAGTTGGACTATCAAAGATTGGGACCATTTATCATCCAGAAGCAAATTAATCCAGTGGCATACCGGCTGGAGTTACCGGCTTCTATGAAGGTACATCCAGTCTTTCATGTTTCTCTGTTGGATCCTTATCGAGAGTCATCTTTTCTTGGAAGAGTGCAATGTCCGCCACCTAGTATTGAAATCGAGAACCACGAAGAATACGAGGTTGAAAAGGTATTGGATTCACAGCGAAGGTGGGGAAAGTTAGAATATCTTGTTCATTGGTGCGGCTATGACATTAATGAGTGAACGTGGGAGCCAGCTAAAAATCTTGCGAATGCGCCACAAAAGGTACAGGAGTTTCATCAACGACATCCCGATAAACCTAAATCAATTCGATGATAGCTTCTTTCTGAAGCTTGTTCTCCCAACAATATAAGAAAAGGGGAGAGCACCAGCAAAATTCATAGTTGATGTAGTTATTTTCTCCAAGATAGATCGTAGTTTGGTCTTTTGATATGGATAGCCAAGAGATAGATATTATGCCAGTCAGAGTATCGCAACCGAGTAGCTCACGAAGGCGACCCCGAGATGAAGAACTACGTGTACCACGACGACGACGGAGGATACCGAGTAATCGATCACTGGTGATCGTATTTGAGATCGAGCCTGCTTACAATGGTCAACCAAAAGGCGTGTTTGCAGGACAATTTCACAATGAGGACACGGAAGTTCATGCTTGGTCAGAAGTCAAAGGCGTGGGCCACTACCGTTGGCTTCAAGGGTCGATGAACCACTTGCCTCGTAAACAACAATTGGAGTTCATAGCAGAAGTTATGCGACAGATCTTCATTTTTTTGCGTTGGTACTGATCAACAACATTGCTTCTCAGAGACCTCGAAGCTAAAGGAGGGGGTGATGTTAGGGACATATTCCTTAGAACTTTCTAGAGAGAAGTTTCTAGAACCTTCTAGAAAACAAGCCTTTGGAACCTTCTAGAAGAGAAGCCTCTGGAACCTTTTAGAGAGAAGTTTCTAGAAGCTTCTAGAAAGGAAGTCTCTGGAACCTTCTAGAAGAGAAGTTTCTAGAAGCTTCTAGAAAGGAATCTCCTGGAACTTTCTAGAAGCTTCCTAGTTAATAGAAGTAGCTCGAGAAGTTTCTAAAACCTTCTAGAAAGGAAGCCTCTGGAACCTTCTAGAAGCTTCCTAGTTAATAGAAGTAGCTCGAGAAGCTTCCTAAGTAGGAGTATATATAGGAATCGAGGCTGAAGAGTTCTTCAGTCTCGACAACACATCTCTTGGAGTTCTAGCTCACCTTTCTGGTGTTGTTCTTGTACTCATCTGTTTAATCTAGTTCTGCCACTTCTTCTTGAACTTCTTGTTAGATTTCAAGTCTGTATTTTGTGTCCATGATAGTATGACTGAAGCCTTTTTTACTCTTGTTAATTCTTTTTTTTGCTTCTAGTTTATTTTCAAAGATCTTTGATTTATCTTATCTTTTAGTAATAGCTATTTTAGTTTTTTTTAATAAATATATTTATTTATTTCTATTTTGACATCTTTTTTGAAAAAAAAAAAAATTATTTATTTACTTGTCTTCATCAAGTTCTTGTCCTCAAAAAATTGACAAAAGTATACTTATAATATCAAAGTTTTATCTTTTTTTGATTAACAATAAATTATCTATTTTTTAAAAATAAGACATAAGTGTATTAGAAGTTAGAAATTATTGACTTTAAAATTCATATTGTTCTTAGAATTTCTTTAATTTTGTAGTTCTTTCTTCTATTTATTTTAAGAGATATTAGATTTTTTATTTTTTATTTTTTTTTTCTATTATATAATCATAAAAAAGTTTATTCAAATAAAGAGTGCAACTATACAAATGCAAGAATAGTTGAAAAAATTAATACTTACAATGCATCAATTCAATTTACCACTACAAGAAACAGTATGATTAATAAGAAGTAAAGATATAGAGATGATTGGAGTTACTTCAACATCTACACCAAATCATATTCTTCTTCTTTTAGTGGAATATTGCTCAAGCATTAGAGAATCAAGAATTATCTTATTTGAGAAATTTAATGGCATAAAATCAAAGTTTTAAAGATTTATCAATCATATATAATTTGCAATTGAACTTCAACTCTAATTCTATCCAATTCTAAAATCACAAATCAATTTTATTGAAATATTACTTTCAAATTCTGTGTTATGATATATTTCATCTTTTCTTAAATATATGATCTAATATTAGATAATTTGGAGGCTTTTTTGGTAGAGTTTCAATCCATGTATGAAAAACATAATACAATTTGTATTGCAATGAATAAGATCCATATTTTGCAACAAGGCAATCAATCCATAACATTATATACTTCAAAATTTTAATAACTTATAATTAAAATTAAGTAAAATGATGCGGCATTCATTAGCTAATTTTTCTATGATTTACAACATAAAGTAAAGAAATTGATGTTCAATATACATAATATATAAACATTGAGTCAAATAATTGACTTTGCTATGAAATATGAAAAATTTTAAATTTTGATTTGAAAGTTGTATAAAATTGGCCTCAATGTTATTATAATTCAATAGAAATATCAATGTCTTTTTAACACATACACTTGAAAGTAGAGGATATACAATATATAAATATTCATAGCTTGTGGTACAAGCTAACTATGTAGTACACATTCAAGAAACTTGTCTCATAAGTTAAGGCATGTGTCTTATAAATTTAACATGTATAAAAAGTCCTATAGAATGTCACCATATAGCTCCTAAGTAGATAGTATATAGAGGTAAGAATGAAGCTTTCTTCATTCTTGTCAATTCTTTTTTTGCTTTTAGTTTAGTTTTAAGGATTTCTAGTTTTTCTTGACTTTTGGCAATAGCCATTCTAGTTTCTTTTTTAATAAATATATTTACTTATTTCTATTTTTTCATTTTTCTTTAAAAAAAGTCTCATTTTTTTATTTATTTTTATAAAGTCTTTGTCTTTAATATATTAATTATATTTTTTTTGATATTATAAATATACAAAATTTCAATTTATAAAACATAATAGTAATTAGAATATTTTTAGTGGTTTTAAGTTATACTAATATTATTTTAATTTGATTATAGAGGTTTTATATTTGTCAAAATTAAAAAAGATATAAAATGTTATTATTATGATATATTATATATTTAATTAAAAAATAAGTTTTAGATAACTTTAAAGAAATCATTATAATCAATCTTATAGAATTATTTATAAAATACATATCAATAATTTGGTGGATTTTGGTTGGTTATTAAACAAAAAAATTCTTATATTTTTCAATGATGCAACTATCATATTTTAAATGTTGAATTAGCATAAAAAATTAAAGATATTGATATTAAAATATTTTAGATTAATATCAAATCTACATTAACAAAATAAAGATTTAATTAAAAATAAAAAACATATTAAATAGAAATCAATGCATAGATCTTTGCAAAAATATTTGACATGTTATAAAAATATTCCAAAACTTTATAACCAACATTAATAATGATTCTAAATAGAAGCTTTTATTTATTAAATTTTATTTTATAATGAGTACATTTTTTGCATTGACAAAAAATTTCGTGGAAAAAATAATTGGTCCTGTCTAGCTATCTTTTAATTGAAAATTAAAGAAGTATTTTAAAAATTAATTTTAGATTAAAAGTATTTTTATGATATAGCATACAACATTCTTTCAAATTATTATTCAAACAACTTTAAACTTAATAGACATATTAGTTTTATTGTTGCTACATTTGAAGAAGTTAATGATAAGATTTTTTTGTAAAAAAATAAATAATACAATTAGAAATATGCATTGTAAAGAATTTAAATTAGAATTTAAATTAGGGCGTACTTTCATCCCATTTCCAGGGTTCTGAGGAGAAGGCCCATAAAAGTCCAATAGGTAATAGTACACAGCCTCCTCGTCCCAGTCGAAAGTCAAGCTGCTGGTTTTGTCGCGGCATGCGGGGCAGTCATTCTCTGCTGGCCACAACTTCGACGAATTTCCTTCCGTTTTGTGTTCCTCTGATGCAACAACCTCAGTGATCTGCAATGTAGGTAAGACATCCTAGTTAAAAATTCCAACCATGTTTACAACTCAATATCGAAGATAGTATTTATGTCCATGCAACGTTCCTAAAAATAAAGAAAAATGATTGAATCACCAATAACATAATACATTGATTGTAGCAAGTGAAAAAACAGTCCGAGCATCTTAGTAAGGGAAATACATTGCTTTCAAGATGAGAAGGAGCTTACCATATTGTGGATCCTCCACAGCCATAGGACCAGGTCCCTCTTACTTATTCGTGGACTAGCTTGGCTTCTGAAAACAGCCATGTCATAAAGTGAATCGTGAACTAAAGATATTATAAAAGATTGATGGTATCAATTCAACCCCAGTGCAGAAGATACATGCCTCATGTAAACGAGGTAAATAACTTGACCTCGACATAAGGGTTTGGGAAAAGGGAAAGAATTTGGAGTCATAAAGAGCAGTCCAAATAGGGACATTTGAATCAGCTATTTCAGATGAACACAGAAAGTAAACCGTATTCCAGAACAAACAGACCGTCAGACATTGAGTTTCTCAGACAATGAATAAATCTTGGCACGTAATTCGTCTGTGCTGGCATGAATCCTTTCTAGATATTTCTGAAAAAATCAGACCAGAGAAGACGGGCTACACTCAATCTACAAAGCATTAGAAACACACCTGGTGGTTGCATTCCGAAAATGATCACGACAATGATCACATTTGTAGAAGTCGTCAACAAATGCTTCTATAGCTAACTTCGCAAAGGTAGCCTCAAATTCTTGTACTCGAACTGTCAATGAATGAAGCAATAGCCACAATCCGCAGCTGCAAAGGGAAAAGTTAGATAAGCGAGAGGGCAGCCAACAAAGAGCCTTGAGATGAGCTTTGTGCTTGAAATGACAGGTAACCGCCAGGGACTGTTTCGTGCTTACTACGTTAGACTGTCCTGCTGTTACCATAACAATATATAGCCGTAAGGTCTACAAGAGCATGACATGTGAGACAAGGGTAGTACTACTCGGCTAATTTTTGTAGATGTTTTGTAATTATTAGAACAACGCTAGCAGTACGGTGTTGAGAACCCACTAAACCTCAAGTAGAAAGTCGTTCACTTGTAACCGCGACCTTTTCCATCGCAAGCTTCCTGGAAAATCATTTCATGAGAATTGATGCTCATATTTCTTGACTAGTTGATCTCGATAATTAAGGATAGCGGAACATCAGGGTATGAGACGCATCAAGGCAGAGGAACACACAAATGACAACCAATGTGGTTCTGGGTGTCAAAATATGAACAGGATGAAGAAAGTGTAAGGAAAAACCCAGAAGCGACGAGGTAAGCCTGGACCGCACAACTGTTGCTTCCTCAACGCATTTGTAGGTTGAAGCTGGCTGCCAGGCCACCATTTCGTTGAGTCCTGCAGCAATTTTGCACTCCCAATCCGACACCTGATATTGCATCCTACGACCATAAGTTTCCTTGCTTAAATAGAGTTATTCAAAGCGGATAACCTACCTCTTCAGTAGCTAAAATTCCCAAAAATGGAATCAACGATAGCAACTTCGAATCCAACAAGATTGTGGTGGTTAAATTGATCATTGAAACACTCCAACGTCCGCTTTCTACTCATACTGAATACTGATGGCACACACACACACATTCTGAGAGGACGACACATTAGTAAGAACAGCACCTGTGTGAGGGATGTTGCATTTCCAAGAGATGCAAAAAATCCAAAAAAGAGGAGTGACTGGATGACCGTAGCATCTGCAGGAGTCATGCAAAGAGTGCCAAGGGAACTTAGGTCAACAAGGACCATCTTATCCATGCTGTACTCAAATGAGCCGCCAAGCAGAATATCTAAAGCTAACAAGCATAGACCTTAGAGCCAAATTACTAAACCAACCAGAAAGATTGAATACATAACAATATGGAAATAAACAAAAAACGTAAAGCGTCTTCCTACGAGGAGTTCGTGGCTTACCTTCTCATCCAACATGTATGAAAAAGCATACGCCGTGGCTTCTTCAACATCATGCAGCATTCCAGAAATCTTTTCATGAACACATGGCATTTACGATCTCACATCAAGTTCTGAACATAAGCGATAACTGCAAAATCGTAATCCAAACGTAAATAGATAATACACTATCCGTTCACTTGGTGAAAACTTAACGACTCTTTCGGCGACAATGACATCTCCTGTATGGTAAACAGTCCGAAGATCTAAACAATCCTGTCTAGACATAATAATATAAGCAAACTACTTTGATGATTCTCATGGCTATGTGGTGGTTTTGTGGCTGGACCTCCCAAACGCCAAGCTCCTCCGAGAACTGCTGCTTTGCTGTTTCAGTTTCGGTGTTTGGGGTTCCCGGCCTTACGTAATTCAGTGAGTACTTTCTATTTCCAAAAGACGACATGATTAGAAGATGGAATGAAATTTCTTAAAATGGATACAGAAAGGTAGTTGAAAATAGGGAAAGCAGTACATAAACACAGATTAAAAGCACAACTTCAACACTATAATTTAAGGCTAAGCTTATCATGCTCAAAAGGTATGCTTGATAAAGATGCAAACTTAATTTATCTTACATCTCATATTGTATCAACTCATCCGAATGATAATCGATCGACAAATGTTCATACAAGTTTGACGCCCTTGAGGTAACTGAAAGACCGAAAAAAAAAAAACAAAAACAAAACAAAACAAAAGTAGACGCTAACTTCTTAATGCGCTTGTTTATCCATTCAAGTAAACTTTCAGCACTGCTAACAGTCGCTCCAGCAACAGATTCCAGTCCTAACGTTTGCTTAAAAACCCCATCGCTGGACGCAAAGACTCCAGGAGGTCCCCAATATAATGTCGGATACGATTGAATATCAAAGCGCTCGCAGAGACCCTTGTTAGACTGCTCCAATTGATGTAAGGAAATTACAATTATTCAACAGATGTTAACAGCAATGACAGGACTAAATCTTGTGATCAGTCATGCACAAATGCCAATCATGATGTGGGAGGATCACATACTAACTTGAAAGATTGAAGGAATTATTAGGATAAGGCTAATTACACACAACTAGGTGATCCATAATTGACATATATGCTTCATCCGCTGAAAATGCATCACCTATTGTTCCATCATTAACCCTGACAGTGACTTTCAGAAAATATTGAAAAATGGAAGACGGCAAAATATCACCTCTAGAGCGCAGTTGACCATGGTGACGTACACTTCACCCTCATGAATTGCATTCGGATCATTAAACAAGCATGCCACACGCTCGTAATGTGGCTGCACTATCACAAATTAGGCTTAGAAACAGCACTTTGCCCAGTAATCTGAGAATAGACATTTGTTCCGCGAAAACCATTCTCTTCAAAGAAACTTGTAATTTTGATATTCGTTAAACCTAGTTTTAATTACGTTGCACTTTGCGCAATAATATACTGACACATCCTGAAAAACTTGTGAAGAGCCGTGACAGCATGACATCAAATGCTTTTGAGAAATTTTAGCTAGGAAGCCTATCTTGAACTGCTGGCACTCCGGTAACCTACACAGACATGATTTCAAAACGTTTTTAGGCTGTAACGACAACCAACACAATTTAACCCCCTCGGTAGATCTCCAATACAGACAATAACTCGTCAGATAATGCCAGGCATTGAGTGGGATACATAAGTCATCCCATACTTTTGAAACAATGCACAAGAGAACACAAAATTGAGTAAGCTTTCCAGTGCTGATTTGGTACTACGTGGACAAATCCTCGGGACACCAAGCACACCACATTAAAGAGTCGAATTCGTATGCAAGCATTAACTGTGTCACGGAAGGTGTACTCTCATATATACAGTGTGGTTTAGAATAAAGTGTGAGGGTTCAGGAAACCCAGTCTACAGATCGAACAGTAAGCTTACCAAGACGCGAAAAACTCCACGAGTGCATATGGAGTCTTCGTCTGCGCCAGACTCGGATGGAATATCTTGTCATAAAGCTCAACAGCACAATCGTCTTCGTTGCCCAGTGCGCTTCCAACGCCACCCACTAACAGCAGAGCTGCTACCCACATGCTCGCCCAGTTCCTCTAACCGGCCATCTTCCTCCCCCTCACTCGTTTTTTTTTCTTCTAACCCCAATACACAAAAAATCAGAGAAAAAGCTTAACAACGTTCGAAACCACACCAACATTAAAATCAACCACAGGAGCTCTCTACCAAGAATGGGAATCTGTTGCGCAAACCCTTCCGAGCGAAAAAAACCTCACTCAGCAAGAATGTGACTCATTGTACCATTCATTTGAGCCTCACACTCGGAAAATGTAATACCAGGGATCCAGATCCACACCCCCATTAACCCAATCACGTACGAATAACGATCGAATTTGTACGTCACCACCACCTCGTCACCATCTCCACCCAAATTTGTAACGATTTCTCAGCAACTGAAGCAATGGAATCTTGGGCAAAACCACGCATCACGCTACGACAACATTACTGCAACATGAATCCATCAACCGGAGCTTGATTCGGCACCGAACCCAGTTATCAAATCACTTACACAAGTGCTACTTGCACCGATTTCTCCAACCCAACGCCATAGCTCACTTCACCGAAACTCACACACACAAACACACACATCACCATTGATTGTAGGGATTAGAAAAAAAAAAAAAAAAAAAAACAATGCCAGTTGGGTTCAGTTTGCATTATTAAAATGGGATGCTGTTGACGCTTTCTATTCAGTGGTACAAAGATTTACTGGTGCATGTTTGAAACAAATGGTATGATGCCACGGAATGATTTCTGTTCTGTCTTGCTTACTTTCATGTCAAAAACTAATGTCATCTTTGTATTTACATGTATATACATACATACTTGTGTATATTCTCCAAGTCATCAGCACTTAAAATGTGCAAAGTAATTAACAAATATTAGAAGGTCAAAGTTTAGACTTAGATTGTGGTCAACATGAATTAGAAACAATCAAAATGCTGATACACTCTTGTATCACTCAAAAAGAGATATTCACTCAAAGGTAGTATAGTATTAAAATTAGAATGACTATTACCAAAGATAAGAAGTTTAGAGACTCTTGAAACAAGACTAAGAACAAAAAAAGCATTAAGAGTGAAGAAGGCATCACTCTTGCTTCTATATATACTATTTAACTAAGAGCTACATGGCAAAGTTCTATAGAACCTCCAACATCCATCTAACTTGCAAGACAAGTTTCTTTCATATGCACCATATGGCTAACTTGTTGGCCAAGTTTTCAACATATCAATTACCTATATACACATATAAAGTCTAATCCACATCTATAAAGTTTTTAAGAAGCCACTACACAAAATATTATCTAATCTACTTATTAATATCTATTTCTATCTAACTATTTTAATTTAGATAAATATATATATATATATATATATGTTCATAATAATGTGTTATATTTCAAATATTTAGAGGCTCTAAGTACTACCACCTAGAATTTATAATTATTTTTAATTATAATTAGAAGAAATTTTTATTTTATTTAATTTATTGATATTAAAATGCTTTTAGTTTTTACTTATATTGGTTTGCAGATACAATTATAAGTATATTTTATTAAAATTACTTTTAGAGCAAGTGAATGCTCCTAATAATTATGTATAAAAGTATTTGGTTAAATGTGAAATATTTGTAGAAATTTAATGAATAAAATTATGGCATATGGAATTGCTATTTTATGTTCTATAATACATTAGCCATTGGTATTATTAGCCTTAATGTATACAACATATATAAGATATAGAAGAATTCATAGTAGTATAGAGATTGAAGAATAATTTAGTTACTTAGCATCTTGCAAAAGATAGGTAAAAGTAAAACACAACCTTTGATAGATGTATATTAATTGAAGACTAATTTCATGACATGTATATGTTTTGAATTATTAGATGGTTTAAAATTAAAGACATCATTCATTTTTAAATTTTATGATACTAAAGAATATTTTAGAATTTTATTCTAAAAATAATAATACCACATTTTTTGTGTAATTATATTATTTATTTTGATTACCATATTTTAATAATGACAATCTATTATAGTTATAACAATAACTATAACAATAGAATTAGTTCTTTAAAGATTACTACATTAGAAATAAAATAATTTTGCAAGAATTCTTCAATTGTAAGAATTATATTGAATAGTTAGTATACCTTAAAATTTTATTACTAATTTTTCTACATATTTAAAATTTTAGTATAAGAAGATATTAGAATATAAGTCTAGCAAGTTTCTAAAATTTTAATTTTACTATTATAATTTTTTTATTGAAGAAAAAGTATTTTTTTAATAAATAGAGAGATTTTTATTCTAAATAGATCTCTAAAATCAAAAACATTCATCTCTATTGAGAATGTTAAGAAAGACACAAGAATAATAGTAAGTAATACACCCACACAAGAGTAATAGTAAGTCATACACACAAGAAAGTTTCTAAAAAGAGAGAGCTTCACACACAAAATTCTATTGTTCTGGGTGTGTTTCGTATACAAGAAGAGAAAAGGGGAGAAGATAAACAGTACTTCTCCACTAGACTCTAAATATTGTAGCTATGGTATTTACTATAGTCTACAATAAATATTATGGAGAACGTTGTCGTATTGTAACACGACTACATGGTGAAAATATAAATGAAAAAGATTTTATTAATATTTAGTCATCTTAGATGTTAGAAACAATGGCCAATTCTAGTGCCAATATTCAGGGGCCAGTTAATGTCACCCCATTGTAAGTTGTACCACTGAACGTAACAACAGCATGTACTCCACTAGCGTCATCGAACCAAGTACCCTCCATACCAACGAGATGACCAAGATCATTTTCTAACCTTACATGGAATAAGCCTAGTAGGTATATATAGGTGGAGACACCCAATATGCCTGATGGGGGTGCAAGAAGACCACTTCATTGTTTCCATTGCAAACAGATTGGTCATTATGCTAGTGAATGTTCCAATCCCAGAGCCAGTCACAATTACGTGCCAGTGTGTGGGAATTGCAAGCAGTCGGGGCATACATATCAATAATGTAATGTTCCATTCAATTTCAATAATCGGGATTAGCAGATCCAAAGCCAAGAAAAAATTGAGGAGATAAATGGAGGTCTTCAAGTTTCTTCAGTAAATTCAGTGAAATGTGTCCAAGCCATTCTTACTAAGAGTCGGCAAAAGGGAAAAGGACCAATTCAACATTCAGGTGAGCTTGATGGGAAGGGCTAATTTGACCCAATTATGGGGACATCCAATCCAAGTCTTGTTACGGGCCTCTTACCCAGTATGAGACTTGACTCGGTTGGTCAAGCCAATGAGGTTCCGATTATGGAGGCTTTAGTTCCATTTCAAGCTGTTTCATTCTCTATACCGTTTCGGGGAAACGTCCTTTCCATAGAAAGATCCTCTTAGAGGCAAGAATTCCATGGAAGTGTGGGTCTATTGTTCCAATTCCGAGTCTAGGGTGGAAGAATAGGGGACCTTACGGAGTTAAAGGAAAAGAAAGAAAAAAGAAGAGGGCATTCGGAGATCGGAATTTTTGGGGTCGAAGAGCTAGCTTCAAGCTCCTTCAAAAGGTATAAGACTTAGTTTCATAGGGTTTGGGAGGATTTTGCAATTGTTGCTTTAAGTCAGTGTTTGTATTAGTAAATTGAATTTTTTTTGCAATGAAGTTAAGGCAAGTACTCTTGATTGTTTGGTGAAATTGGAAAAACATTTGTAGTTGAAATTTTAGAAATGTCTAGATGGTTGAGTATGCCAAGTGCTTGCAAAAATTTGTGTTAATCTAATGGTATGGATAGAAGATATTTGATCATTAGTATAAAGAGGTATCAGAAGTCAACATATTCGGGTCGTTTAGGGTTTCTGTAATATCTGGAGATCTATCAGCTGGAATAAGGTGAATTTTGACATGGTAAGTCAAGGACTTAAAGGTGGAGCTACACGCAAGGTTTGAATGAGAATTAATGGTTGAAAAAGGAGAAATTGCAAGTCAAGGTTCGTCATCAACTTTCTAGGTGGCCGTCATGGAACATCAGTGTGGATTTACAACGTTTTCTTGTAATTTGTAAGTTAGATTGGATTGAAACTTCTTGAGCATTTAGAAGACTTGCAAAGACACTAGCGATAGAAGTTTTATAACAATCGGACGGTCAGATTGAGAATTACACCTTGCCAAAGCTCGTTGTATAGGATTAAGGTTTAAAAATTAAAAAATTAAAAATTAAAAATAAATAAAATAAAATAAAAGATAAAAAATAAAACAAATATATAATAATAATAATAATAATAATACTAATAAATATAAAATAAAATAAAATAAAATAAAACTAACAAATAATAGAAGAATTTGTACTTATAATATCTCGAAGTTATTAAAAATAGTGTTTCCAAGCACTTTGTATTGAGAGTAAGCTTTTATATTGAAATCCGAAATAGTTTGTATTTAGATGGTTGAAACCCACTAGACTACTCGAATACTTGTAAAATATCATTTTATCTTCTATAGCCAGACGCCCGGTGCGTTTTCAAACAAGATAGCACGTAATATGATAACTTCAGCTACATTTAATGATCTCAACACTCCTCCTTGCTCATCATAATATTTACATAATATAAAATTTGTATAGAATTATGATCTATACTTTTCTGTGAGCTTGCAAGATCAACAATTGTTGCCTCATTAAAACCTTATTTAAAAAAATCTTATTGTATTTAAAGACAAAACCATAGATGAAGGAAAAAGAATACAACATCATTTTTTTTTAATTATTTAAAGAGCTCATTAACTTTCTTATTCAAGAAAAGCAAGTCGCTGCATACCAATGCCATAAGTGAGTCAACAATGGTTGCACAATGGAAGAACTTTGGTAAAGAGTTTAATAAGGTTATTTATAGATTTATTTTTCTTAATTATAAGTGCTTGATCAGTAATCAAGTCATGGGTATAACTAAAATACTTTGAATCAATATGCTTTGTCCTGTCACCTTTAATGAAACCAACTTGCATCTGTGCAATACAAGCACTATTATCTTCATATAAGATAGTTGGAGAATCATCATATGAAAATCCATAGGTTGTTTGAATGAATTTATAAATTGATCCCAACCAAATATATTCTCGAGATGCTTCATGTAAGGCAATAATTTTTGCATGATTGAATGAAGTTGCAGTTATTGTTTGTTTCATTGATTACCATGATATTACAGCTCCGTGTTTTAAAAATACATATTGTCACGAATTTAGAATACTGACTAGAAATCTAAACAAGAAGCTCAAGAAGAATCGGCAAGAACTAGATTAGTCAGATGAGTACAAGAACAATACTAGAGAAGTGAACTAGAGCTCCAAGAGGTATGTTGTCGAGATTGAGGATCCCCTCAGTCTCAGCTCTTATATATACTATAAGCTAAAAAGCTTCTCAAGCAGCTTCCACAAGCTTAAAAACTTCTCAAGTAGCTTCTACAAACTACAAAGATTTTCTAGAATCTTCTAGAATCTTCTACAACTTCATAGTGTATGTCCTTGACATCACCTCCCCCCCTTTTAGCTTCGAGGTCTCCAAGAAGCATTCTTATTGCGAGTCAGTACTAACGTAAAATTGATATTTTGTCAAAACAACCATACTTTATCTCCAATTTTGAAAGTAA